CCCCCGGTCTCCTGGGGCGGGCAGCCCAAGATCTGATCGATGCCGAAGCGAATGGGCTCGTGGGGCTGCGGCGGTGCGGGGCCCGTCTCCTGCTCCAGCTCCGGGGCTTCCATTCTACGCCCTCAGCTCTCACCAAGCGCCCGCCGGCTACCCCGTTCTGCGCTCAGACGCACCGCTTTCCGGGCGCCACGCCAGGACAAGGACGCCCCAACTTTGTGGAAGACAGCATCGCCCTGCGGCCAGGGACAGCAGGGCCCGTCGGAGGGCCACTTGGGCCAGCACAAAGGCACGGGCGTGCTCCCGAGAGGACGGGCACTTGGTCGCCTCCACTCGGTGCCTGGGCATACCCGGAGATCGCAGGGGGGCACGAAGCTGCAGGCGTTTTTCTCTAAGACGCCATCTCCGCCTGCCAAAATTCTCTGGCTCCAGCCCTCTGATTGGTGGCCGTTGGCAGTGATTGACAGGCCTTTGCCGGGGGTGGGCGGGTCGCGCGTGTCACATCCAGAAGAAACCGCCTGTACCTCGGTTCTTCTCCGCCTTCCGCCTATGTGCACCCCCTGGAATGAGGGGAGACTCCCACCCGCTCGGCCTCCCCAAGGCCGCAGTTCCCCCTCCAGACCCAAACAGACAGCAAGACCCAGATATGTGTACAGACAGCGCCTTCTCTGGGACGTGGGGCTGGGAAGACCGAGTCTTGGCCGCAGGCGCTACCGTCTAGCCTCGCCGGCTCTTTCCATCTGCAGCCGTTCCTCGGGTTCCATCATCCGGATTAGCAGCTCTTCTGGCGCGACGGTCGACGGTCGCTTTCCTTCTCAGGAGAGAGAAGCCCGGCCGCCCTCGCTTGCAGCCCCGGAGTTTCCTGTTGACGCTCTGGATCGGCCGCCCCCCACCCGGCCATAAGAAGGTTCCCCAGCTCAGACGGCGCTCCCGAGGCAGGGCCAGGAGACCGCGCGGAGACACGGTCTCCCCCCGCTCATCCTCGCCCAATCCCCAAACAAAGAATCGCCAGTCCTGGCGTCCGCGCCTTTGCTCCCTGCTGCCCCGGGGGCGGCCCCTCACGCGCGACATGGAGCACCAGTGCAGAGCCGCGAGTCAGCGGTCTCTTGCCGCCCTAAGGGGCAGGTAACGCCTGGGCGTGAGAGGAAGCGCTCCCCCTTCTCTCCCCGGCCCCGGACAAGCCAGATTCGCCCTCTCCGTTGTAGATTAAGTAGCGGCGGCGCAGGAGCAACATCGGCGTCCCCGGTGGGATGGTATCGCGCCCCTTCATGAGCCTGGTTCCCCCGCCCCCCCCCCAAGCCGAAGGAGCCCTTTCCCTCCGCTGAGCGGGGATGGTGGGGAGGATCCTCTCTGCCCTTTCGGCCGCTTCATAGACGGGAAGAGAAAATAGAAAGCCGCGAAACCCCGGAGGCGGTGAACCGGAGCAGGACCGAGACGCCTATCCAGTACGGCTCCTTGCATGCGCCGGATCCCACCTTCGTTTCGATCAGTCTGAAATCTCTTTTCCCTGCGAACAAAAGGAACAGCGAGTGTCTGCCAGACAGGTCCGAGGCGGCTGTGAAGCTCCTGACCGGTTCCACACCCGAAGCCTTTTTGCCCTGGAATATAAATTAGGATCAGAACAGCAGCGCCGAAGCGGTGCAAGGCGTGAAGTGAGAAGCCAAAAGATAATTCAGAATTCTTCAGCCGGACGACCTACCCATTTCAGACACCTAGTTCTCTGAGTCGCTACAGAAACGCGCCCAAGTGCCTAAAACGTTGCGCAGCACCGCTGCAAAAAGGGGCGCCCGGAGCGGCCACCTGCGGAAAAGAGAGCGGCGAGGAGGGAGAGACCGCTCCGGAGGAAGAGGCCGCAGCCGGAGAAGCCTCGGAAGGGATCGCGGCGGCGGTCAGAGGTTCTGATTAGCATTATCAATTTAAAGTCTCTGATACCGTTTCTCATTTATATAAGTCTTGAAGCCGTTTACAATAATGCGTAAAATAATTATGGAATAAGCAATCAATAACAACAACAACAGTATCATAGCAACAATGTATAACAACAACATAATAATAATAATAATGGTCCATTGGAATATCTGCAAGAAATAACAGTTGCCTGCAAGCGAGAACTGGCGGGACCACAAAACAGACAGAGTGGTGGAAGGTGGGGAAGCCAAAGTGCTCTGGGACTTCAGGATTCAAACAGACGAGCCCCTGCCACACAACACCCCAGACGTAACAGTTGTTGGTAAGAAAAGCAAAAAAGTCTGGGTAGTGGACATTGCAATGCCTGGAGACAGCAGAACAGAAGAAAAAGAACTGGAGAAAATCATCAACTACAAAGACCTGCAAACAGAAGTAGAATGACTGTCAGTAGTAATAGGCACCTTGGATGCAATCCCAAAACATCTGGAGCAGCACTTGAACACCATCGCCATCAGCCCATTGCAAAAGGCAGCTTGACTTGGAAGAATCGACTGCAACATAGCTTTAACACTGTCAAACAACACCTGCCTATCCCAGGTCCCAGGGAAGGACTCGATAGGTGGACAAAAATGCCAGATCCAGTCTAGACACCTGGCTGACTGCGTGTGCGATCAACAACAGTATAGCAGCAGCAGCAGCCCATTGGCAGAGATAATAGGTCCTTTCACCCTCCGGGTTTGCTACAAAAAAGCAGCCTAGAGCCTGCCGGGTGGGGCTTTGCCCCCCCCCCCCCGGTCTTTCTAGAGCGATCCTATCACGGGAGGAAACTCCGGGCAGCTGTTCTGGGGGGTGCCCAGGAAAACTTTGTCGCTGTGAATTAATGGAACCTGCGAAGGTTTGCGCCAAGAAGGGGCAGGAAAGGAGAGAATCCACTTTCAGTAGTGGTGACCGGCGACCGCCCCCCTTCAACTTCGGAGACGGCAGAAACGTGGGCCAGCAAGGTCTCGGGGCCCCGCAGCGCTTGGAGCAGGCGCACACAGGCCCAGCCCTCCTTGCACCACCAGGAGGTTCAGGCGGCCCCTTCCATGACTGGCGCGGGGGAGGAGGCCCACCAGGAGCGCTGGGCCCGGGAAAGGATCCGGGAGGGAGAGGCGAGGGTCAGCCAGGGCAGCCACGCATTCTCCTGCTCGCTGCTTGCCCCTTTGGAGCCTCGGGCTCTGCCTGCCCACCCCTTGGCCAAGGGCCTCCTCCCGCTTCGGGTATGGTGCTCTGTAGGGGAACCGCCCGTCGGGAGTCCGGTGTCCCTCCCGCTCCACCGTGGTGCAGCCCCTGCTCCTCCCTCCCTTGTTTGTGGTCAAGGGCAAGGTTGTTTTTTTTCCTATCAACCCAATCCTGCTTGGCAACGTTGTCTGTTCCTAATAAGACAGGTGAGGTATGTGAGAAGATGAGGTCTCCAACCATCTGGACCAAAATGCCTGCTTGCTTGCTCGCCCGGTGTGTCTTTTCCTGAGAGGGACTCTCTGTGATCACAGTACAAAAAAGCAAGTCCACAGCACTCTTCGGCTGTTGGTTTGCAATTAACTGGGGTTAAGCAACACCCCCACCACCCTCACAAGAGCAAGGCAGAAGAAGGAGTGCCAGCAGGAGAACATTTCGGGAAGCTGGGCTTTGCCATGGTTCTCCCTTCAGAGCAGGAAGGGAGAGGAGGGAAAGCGGAGGGACGGGAGCCCCCCTCCCCACCAAGCTGCTTGGAAGAACATCTCCAGAGCAAGCCAAGACTCTAGCGGAGGTTGGAAGAGGTGAGCCTTTCTTGGCATTTACATCTGCTTTAGATAGCCTGACAACTTCAGTGGACTCTGGTCATAGGATGCCTGTAAGAGTCTCTCGCACCCTCTGCCCAGGTCTGCGCTGAACAGGTCCTTCCTCTTTTGGAAAATAACCAGTGTTAGGCATGGTGTATAGATGTGGTTGGCATCCCGCTTCTGGGCAGGGTTCATGTCGCAGACCAGCCATGCTGTTCTGGGCTTCCCTGTCTGCTGGACCCACCCTGGATAACCAGGAATGCCTACTCCACCTCAGAAAAGCCTCCCAGAAGTCCTGTTGACAGCGGCAGGGGAGAAAGCCGTGGGTTCTAGGGGAAAAAACACCTTCCTGTTTAAAGGCACCCTGTTTTGACTGGCTGTGGAGTGCTGGGGGCAGCCAACCACTTTCTCTTCTACATCCTCCAGTCCGAGGGGGGACGGCAAATATGGTTGGGCCCCTTTAGTCCCCAGCTCCATCCATCATGAATCTGACTTTTTTGGGTGACCTGAAATTCCTCCTGGAATTGTGACCACTCTGCAAAGGGCCTGTCCCACAAGGACAAAGATGGCTCCCCCCTGCCAGTCCTCAGCTGCCTGGCATTTAGGGGTGCCTCTGCCTCCCTGGCAGGTTAAGTCCTGCAGGGTTGCCAACAGTCCCCCTTTCTCAAGGAGGTGTCCTGGAAGAAAAAGCAGTCCTTAGGAAAACCACCCAGGGAGACAGGAGGGGGTGAAAAAGAAACTCAAGATTGCTCTGCTTTGACTCTCTTTGGTATAAGGAGGAGGGAAGGGGAGACACTGGCAGCCGTCAAGAGTCAAGAGCCAAGATCAACATAGCAGGGTTTTGCTCCTTCTTGTGGTGCCTGTTTCCTCCCCCAGCCTATCTCCACCCCACCCTCCTTCAGGCCATTTGGAGAGAAGGTCATTTTTGTCATCCTGGCCAGTGTCCAGTCATCAGGGTGTCTGGTGACAATGAAAAGGGCAAGGAAGGAAAGGGTTGTGGACAAACCACTCATTCTTGGGCCTTTGGCTCACAGGCAGTGCTTCCAAAACAGGTTTTGTGCTTCCTGGATTAACCCATTTCCTAGACTTGCAGAATACACGAACCAACTAATCAACCCAAATACAATACCAGAAGAGCCCTAACTAGGAATATTCAGACTCAGCCTGACTCGCCAGGGACGTGTCACATCAAGGCAGCTGTGAGCCTCATTTCTGCTGCTGAGGGGAGCAGAATTCAGTTCTTGCCCAGACCCGCACAATTGGTGAGGGGGTCTGTCTCGGTTCTCCCCCACCCAGGAACACCACTGATGCCACAGCTCCCCACTCCAGCTGTGACATCAAGGCTCTGGTGTTGCAGCCCCTGCCCACCTCCCTCGCCTGCTGCAGCGGAGTGCTTCCTCCCTCAAGCCTAGTGAGGGGCCGCGGCCGTTTGCGACAGTCTGGTGAGTGAAAGCAATTCTGTGCTGAGCAAGTGCATTCCCTCTGAGTATTGTAGGTGGGATGGGTGAGCCAGCAACCTCCCTATCCACCTTGAGCCTGCATCTGGGCACAGCACAGCGGGGGGGGGGGGCTGCTGCTCCAAATTCTCCAGCCTTCTCGGTGCCAGGGCTGGAGCCCACTGGACTATGTAGCAGGTCAGGCAGATCCCACTGGAGACCAAGGCTCAGAGACCCAGCCGAAGCAATGAAGTGGGCTGGATGGTCTCAGCCCTGTAGGAGACATTTCCTCCTTTTAGGAATGGGAAATGGATCTCTGGACATTCCAGTAGAAACAGCGCTGGGGCCAAACCAAAGTCTTCCCAATTGGTAAAGAGGGCGATAGTATAATTACTGGGGTGTGCACCAGTTCTGGTGGCAGTTCCTGTTAACCCTTTATTCATTGTCCCTTAATGGGATTTAAGCAGCATCCGCATTTGCTTTGCCAGAAGGAGGGGCAACGCTAAGCTGAAGAGTGGCTCTACTTTAGCAACACAATCTTGACTAACATTTCTTCTCCTGCAGCCCAGTCCCCAGCCTTCTCTTTACCAGGCGAGCAGGAGAGAGACCAGTTCAGAGCGGCTTCGCAGCGCCAGAGGAAGGGACAAGCCACCTTGCACTCTTGTGCTGAGAAGGACACTGCCAAGTGCTGGGCGGGGTGGCCTTCCAGGGGACAGCCCCGGCTGGTGAAGCCAAGAGGAGGGAAGTCAGCTGGCCACCCGGCCCACTAACTGCCCTTGCCCCCCCCAGGGCAGTGTCTTCTTCCATAAGCAGTCTAGACGTCCCAGGTCCAGGATGCGACTCAGCAGGCAGCTTTGCAGGGATTCGCTTGGCTTTAAAAGAGACAGACTGACTAGCTGAAGGTCTCTCTCTCTCTCTCTCTCTCTCTCTCCCTCCCTCCCTGTTGAGCTGGCCCAGGGCCTGGGCAAGGACAGGGAGGAAAGCTGTGCCCCCGCAGCGTCTTATCTTTCTGCCACCTTATGCTCCTGCGCCAGACGTCAGGGAGTGGCAGGTTGGCTGGACGCTGGACGCTGCCCCCACAAAGGCTCCTGGCTGGCCTTCACAATCCCTTTGCAGAGCGTCGCTTCTCGAGCCAGTGGCTTGAAGCGGGTGGGATTCCACAGGACCCGAGTCTTGTTCTTGGCCAGGGCAGTTCGTGTGGCCCTTTGCTGGCTTGTGGGAGCAGATGAACCTCCGACAAGGGCGACCCCCATGAATGGCAGATTTTGCCTGAAATTCATATCCACAGTCCTGCTGTTGAGAGACTGAGTGTGAAAGTCAGGGGGAAAAACATTTCAGCGTGTTACAAGAACATTTGAATTTTGAAAGTTATTTGTAAATATTGATTTTGCTTGAGCTTCTTTCTTCACTGATTACCTGATTGTGTGTATGATATGATGAGCTGCTGGTCTTCTATTATCCTGTGTTTGAAGGATGTGAGTTTTTCTGTTCTGCTGTTAACAGCAAGTAAGATCAATTCACCTTCCAGCTTGTATTAATTTGCAAGCCAAATATAAGCCTTCTGAAGCACATTTATTTTTGCCAATCTTAGTGTGCTAAGGTTTATTTTTATTTATTTATGTTTCAAATTTAGATACCACCCATCTCATGAAACAGTGACTCTGGGCGGTTCACAATAAAACAACAATAAATATTAATTAAAATACAATAAAAACAATATAAAAATACAGTAAAAATAGAATAAAACCAAACACATACACAAATAATAACATCTTCCAAGATGTTGATGATCAGTAAGATGTTAACATATGGGAGCATCTTCAAGGTGCTAGGTTGCTTTCAAGGTTCAGTTTGCTTTGAGGGTTTGCAAAAGTTATGGTGCTAGGTTGCTTTCAAGGTTCAGTTTGCTTTGAGGGTTTGCAAAAGTTATGGTGCTAGGTTGCTTTCAAGGTTCAGTTTGCTTTGAGGGTTTGCAAAAGTTATGCTTCCAAGATGTTGATGATCAGTAAGATGTTAACATATGGGAGCATCTTCAAGGTGCTAGGTTGCTTTCAAGGTTCAGTTTGCTTTGAGGGTTTGCAAAAGTTATGTCCTGAGATTGTCTCTTTTATCAAGACTCTGAAATCAATCAATAGAACCCTGTTTTATCTTGTAAGGTCCTCTGAAGTTTACGTCCTTATTGTTTTATATTGGTACAAATATTTATCACTGAAACTGAATGTTTGTATTTATTTGTTTGGTTATTTTGCTAAAGGCAATTAAAATACCAGCTAAACTCTCATCTCATAAAAAATGTGTTTGTCTTCCTAAGAATATACATATTTATTGATGACTCGGTTTTTCTCATGGGGTCTGTTGACTGGAAGGGGGAGTGGTCTCTGGGGTTCTTTAGACAGCTGCCTTGTGCAGTGGGGGGCAGTTTTCCTTCCATTCTGCTTTTTTCAAAAGGGGAGCAGCGGCGCTAACAAACAGGCGCTCCTGGCCTCCCACTGCCCTCCCTACAGGAGGATCAAACGCGCAGGGTGGAAAAAGATGTCCCCAAAAAGATGTCAGGGATGCCACAGGTCCGAGGAGCAGGCCAGAGCAGGAGGCCCCTGTGCAGAACCTCTCCCCTTGAGCGATCGAGGGGATCAGCGGCTAGGAGGCCAGCTCAAGATAGGAAGCCTGTGCTCCCCCCGAGAGTGGAGAAGGGGTCTCTGTGCCCATAGTTTTCTGGGCAGCGAACTCCTCCTCCCAGCCTCATCTCCCTCTCTTGACATAGAAGCGGGGGTCATCCGAGCCACTTCTCCTGAGCAGCTGCCCACCAGGTGACGGCGATCCTCAGGCGCCTTTCTGGCGCCTGCTCTCTTTCTGGAAGCAGGCTGTGGGATTCAAATGCTTTCTTGGTCCAAAATCTGCAACCCCATTTAGCAGATATCCTGAGAGTTTGCAGTTTTTAGGATATTAAATCTTTCAGACTGCCATCTCCTAATCAAATGCCCAGAGAGCCAGTCCCAGCGGAGGCTCTGCTTAGGACAATACACTCCGTTCTCTTGTTTGCAGATAGGAAAAGCCGCCTCGGTCACCCCGCCACTGGGAAACGCTCGTCTATTGTGCGTGGGGCGCAGAAATCATCCAATCCCCCCACCCCCGGAAGGAACTACGCCGATTCTCCAGGTCGGAGCGGCTGAGCTTCACTGTCCGGGGCGAAACGTTGACTCGGTAAGGTCGGGCGCGAGCAGAAACCCTAATGATCCCCGCAAAATTCATTGATTTAAGCTTGCCTGCACTGAACTTCCGCCCCACCCCACACATGAAGGCTGAGCAGGTTCTTTCCGAAAACGAGGCCTCGGCCCCCACCCACGGAAGCAGGCGGGTGGGGCACGTCTCCCAAGCACGCCGGACTCCCAAGCACGTCTTTGGAAACCAAAGCGGCGGAGACCGACGCCTCCCTTGTCTTCAAGGAACCTGTGGTCGCCGAGGGGAGAACTGGCCTACCGCTTGGCTCCGGGATTGCCGCGCCTTTGAACAACCCTCCAAAAGCATCCATTAAACCTTGCGCGGAGCCTTCCTCCAGGCAATCGCCGTTCTGCCTGGTCCTTCCAGTCGAAAGAGCGGCCACCTGGGGAAGAGAGGGGTCAGGATACTCCCCCCCGCTTCTCCCCCACGGCAGGACGTCTTCCATCAGGGGCCCAGAAGAAGCGGTTTAAAACTAGCCAGCCCCCGCAGCTTCCCTCGCAAAAGCCCAGACAGACACGGCTGGGCGGTGTTCCCACACCACACGAATACGGGGCCGACCAAAGGCCATGGCTGTGTTCAGGAACCTGCCCTGCCAAAGCAAAGAAGCCTATTCTGGCTTCGCAGGAGGGTCTGGTTCGCACAACCTTACTGAGCCTACAGCTGGGTTCCAGCACACAATAAATCCTTGGACTGCAAGCTAGCCTTGGGGATCGTGGGAATGCAGCCGGGCCAGAAGTGTATCGGGCCAAGGGAGCGAGGGATCACCTTGACAGATCCTTTCAGTCAAACGAAGAAATGAAAATGGTTCTCGGGCAGCTGGAAGAGAAAGTCGGGGAGCGAGGGATCACCTTGACAGATCCTTTCAGTCAAACGAAGAAATGAAAATGGTTCTCGGGCAGCTGGAAGAGAAAGTCGGGGAGCGAGGGATCACCTTGACAGATCCTTTCAGTCAAACGAAGAAATGAAAATGGTTCTCGGGCAGCTGGAAGAGAAAGTCGGCTCGCCGGAGTACAACTTTCAAGGACTCCGCGCCTGGGCAGTAGCAACTCGCCTCAAACAGGAAGCAAAAGAGCTGGTCACAGAATTGGCCGGCTGGCGATCGGCCCCGGGGCCCCTCCCTCCCCTTCCCTTTTTGTGGGGTAGAGAAGCAGGGCGAGAGCGGCTGGCTCCGGAACCAGCAAAGGCGCGGGCGGTGGGATTCGGCCACCTGAGCTCAGGGCGGCAGGCCTAGGGCAAGCGGCGACCAGGGGGCCAGGTCGCCTGTCGAGAAGCTCTGGAGTGGGGGGAGCCCGGAGCTCGCCAAGGTTCTCCTTCACCAGAGCCCGACGCGAGCCTGCGCTCCCAGCAGGCAAGGGCGAAGGTTCCTTCGGGCCAGGACAGCTTGAAGTACCCAGGAGCGCACCCGGAAGCCAGCCAGGCCAGGCTTCTGGTGTGTTTGGAAGAGATCGGAACCGGGAGACGGACAGACTTCCAGGGAACCTGCAGTCGGCCGCGTCCAGTATGTTACAGACGACAGGTTCCGGGAGGCCATCCAGCCTGACCTCCATGGGCTTCTCTGCCATGGGTCAGCTGTGCCTTTATTGCCCAAATGAGGGAAGGGCTTAGGCGGAAGGACACTCTCCGACCAAACCTGCCAGGCCCTCGGGTGTACCTTTCTCTCGTCTGTCTTGGCGGCGGCAGGTACCTGCCTGCCCTGGGTAGGGAAACGCCGCGGCACCCGCTTGCTCCAGCCCATTCCGGGTGTGGGCAAAGGTGCTCCCAATGTCAGGGCTCTCCTGCAGCAGAAATAGGCCCTTTCCCGGGAATCTCCTTGCCCCTCCCTTCCTCCCTCCGACCAAGCGGGTTGCTGGGCACGCTGGCTCTCTCCCCGCTGCTTTGCTGCTGCTGCTGCTGCTGCTGCTGCTGCTGCTGCT